AGTGCCCGAACCGAGAGCGGAASGCGGTCTTGTGGGTGTCCTCCTCGCGGATACGGATCTGGTGGAAGCCACTGCGAAGGTCGATCTTGGTAAAGTACTTAGCTCCACGGAGAAGATCAAGAAGCTCGAAAATCCGAGGTAGGGGGTACTTGTTCTTGATCGTGATCCGGTTCAAGGCGCGGTAGTCTGTGCACATGCGGAGTTCCGAAGTTCCACCTTTCTTGATGAAAAGGCAGTTGGTTCCGATGGGGGATGAACTTGGCTTAATGAACCCTTTTTCAAGGAATTCACTGAGTTGCCGCTTCATTTTTTCGGCTTCAGGGACAGAGAGTTGGTATGGAGGGCGGCAAGGTGGAGAATGTCCGGGTTCCAAATCGATGGTATGCGATACGCCACGATCCGGAGGTAGTCCGGCCGGTAAGGACTCGGGAAAGATATCCCTGAACTCGTCGAGGATTGAAGTGATGGTGGGGTTGGAGGGGGGGGGCTTGATCGGGTTTGTCCGTCGGGAGTAAGTCCTTGGGACTTTCGCGATCAAGGACAAGACAGTAGTAATAGGCGGAGTTGGGGTTTAGGCGAGCCATGTGGAGGAATTGGTGCGGGGTGACAGAGCCTTGGGAGGTCGGATATGGGGGATAGGGGATGCCGATGGTTGTGTCGGGGGGGTTGGTGAGGCGAAGGAAGTTGGGGTGGAATGCGTATGGCATGTAGTGGTCCATCCACGAGGTTCCGAAGACGATGTCGCACATCAAGTGCATGACATCAAACGAGACCCGACTGCGGAGGGTTCCGACGGTCATGATGGTCTCGGGAACCGTGTGGTCTACTACGACGGCGGTGTCTTTGTTCCCCTAGGTGAATCGTGATCGGGGAGTCATAACCGGTAGAGGTAAGACCGGCTTTGCGGATACATGCGTCAGTCATGAAGTTACCGGTGGCTCCAATGTCGAGGAGGGCCCGGAACTTAGTTGTAGACGCACCAAGGCTGGCAGCGATGAAGTTGAGGTGGAAACGAGATGAGTTGGCGGTGGAGATGATGGTGTTGAGGCGGCGTTGTTCGTTGCCTAAGCGGACAAGCCGATCGTGTCGGGCTTGTTCCTCAACAACATCGGAGAAGGTGATAGTGGATGGATTTGGAAGAAGGGTAGAGGAGCATGAGGCAGTGGAAGGCGTTTGCGACGTCTGGGAGTCGTCCGGTGGAGGGGGCGTCGCCGGAGAGGTGGGAGGCGAACGAATTGTCGATGCCAAATGGGCCACCGGTGGGACGGAGGACGTCACCGATGGGTGGGCCGACACACGCGATGTCGATGCTGGGTCAGTGTCCTGGGCACTGTGTTCATGATGAGGAGGGGCCCACGCTTGCAGAGGGCGGTGATGCGGAGGTTGCGGGTCGAGTAGAGGCGGATTGGCGGGTGAATCGTGCAGCGTTGGGGCAGTTGGTTTGTTGGTGCCCCAATTGGCGACAGCGGAAGCAACCCCCTTTTGCTTGGAGGTAGGTGCGCTCCTCAGGGGTGAGTTTCTTAAGGCGGGAGGGTGGGGTAGATGAGGGTGGTCGGGAGTTGCGATCTCTGCGCTCCATTCTCATGAATTGGACGACATCGAGTTCCTCGAAAGTGAGGGATGAAGAGTCGAGTGAATCGAAAGATGCGACGGGGTCAGGTGTGGTGAACTCGTCTGAGGAAGTGATGGAGGTGGTATCTTCGGGGGTGATGTGGTGGAAAAAGCGGGTGCGGGAGGTGCCGGGCGGGGGCTGGTGGGGGGGGTGGAGGAGTCGATTGTGTTGAAGCATGCGAGAGAGGAGGTCAGCAAGGGGCATGTCGGGTTCGTGGGCGAGGGCGGTTGCAAGGTCTTTGTGGCATACTCGTTTGATGCGGGAGATGAACGCAAAGTCTGGAATGACGGTGTGGGGGAGGTGGTGGCGGAGGGAGCGGACGTATTGGACGAAGCGGTCCGTGGGACCGGTCTGGCGGAGGTGGCAGAATTGTTCAAGGTAGTCGTCAATGGTTTTCTTGGGGCGGAAGGTAGCAGTGAGGAGGTTGGCCCATTGGAGGAAGGTGTGACGTGGTCCTTCGGAGGCTCGGCGGTTGCTAACTTCAACCATCCACCATTTGGCTGCGTTGCCGAGGAGGCGGGAGGTGGAAATGGGGAGCCAGTGGGCAATGGGCATGTGGTGGAGGTGAAAAGAGTTCTGATGCTGGGTTAGGAAGAGGAAAACGTCCTCGTGGGGGAGACCGGAGAAGGACATGATTTCGCCAGATCGGAAGGAACGGGGGATTTCCCCGTCGCGGTGAACGATCTGCGCGAGGGTGTTGAAGCTGAGGTTATCAGGGGTGGTGTCGTAGCAGGTGTGGTCGATTTGGTTGTTGTCCTCAAGGAGGTAGTTGGGGGGGAGTTGTGGCATTGCGGGGTAAACCCCGGAGGTGACTTGGGAATAGGTGGGAAGGATGGTGGGGATGGTGGAGGTGGTCATGATGGGTTGGGAGAGGGTTTGGGAGTGCGGGGGGGGAAGAGGGGTGACGTGGATGGGCGAGGAATGCAGCGGTGTGCTGGATGCGCCGGATGAGGGAGGAGGTGGAGGGAACGGAACAATGATGGAGGTTGAAGGGTTGGTGGATGTGGTGGTAGAGGTGGTAGGAGTGGAGGAGGTCGGCGGGGGGGTGTTGCTGGAGGCGGCTGTGGAGGAGGGAGTGGTTTGCACTGTGGAGGATGGAGTGGTTTGCGCAGTGGTGACGACCGTGATGGAGGGGATGGTCCCTTCGATCGTGGTGACGCGGTCGCATATGGATGACATGTTGGCCTTTATGTCGTCAAGAGAGGCGGTCACGGAGGTTCGGAGGGTGTTGAGTGCGTGGAGGATGGCAGAGAGGTCGGGGGAAGAGGGGGTGGAGGACGTGGCCTGAACGGGTGTGGAGGATGCAGCAGCAGCGGTGGCGGCGGCGGCGGCGACGGCGACACGTTGGGCGTTCTTGGTTTGGCGTGGTGGCATGTGGAGGGTGGGGGGGGCAATCCCTTATTTATTTATCAATAAATTAAAATTAAAAAATAAAGATAATCGCCAAGGTTTTTTTTTTTTTTTTTTCAAAAAATAAATGCTGAACAGAAAGAGATAATTAATTTCGAAAAAATAAGTTATGATTTAGATTTGAATTTATTTACAAGAAAACGTAAATTTTTGAAAGAAAATATTTTTGAATTACGGGGAAAAAAAATAATTCTGAAAAGAATTAGGAAGAGGAAATTTTTAAAATATTTGGCAAGAATTTTTCACACGAAAATGTCGACATTTGTGAGGAACAAGCCCTCAAGTGGCCCTATCAAACATCACATTCTTCGGGGTCAACACCCCAGCAAGCTAAGTGCCCTCCCTAAGTGAAGGCCGGCTTGAATATTCGTCACAGGCCAAATTCGACATTTCCATATGTGGGTATTCAGGCTCTTGCAGCGCGTCAATTGGTTGAGTGAACGCGCGAGCGTCACTAAGCTGCGCCGTACAGTTGGCCCAGGCCACGAAAGTTGTGCCTGGGCACCTACACCTAAAGCAGGGCCGATACATTGAGAAGCAGGCCGTCGGCCTCTGGAAAAGCAGTATAGCCGACGCACCTACCTGAGGGCCTGCACAGATGCAGCTAACAGCCCAAGTCCGGAGACTCAGGCCGCGCCCAACTGTAAAGGGCCCAGGCCCTCAACTGTAAGTCTCTGCCTGGGCACAAGGTCTGGGGCCCAACCGGAAGCTACTGGAAGCTTCCAGCCAGGCCACACGCAGCATGCAGCAGGCTGCCACTTCCATAAAGGAAGTGAGGCAGCCCAGGCGAGCA